AATTTTAAGAAGGGGAAATAATACACAGCAATGAAGTAAATTTCAATACTCCTAAATTTAAAGAAGTATTAATTCAATAAAATATAAAGAAGTGTGAAACTATTTGTGCATTTAAAGTAACCATTTTAATGTAACTAATAAAAACTCTTTTACTTAAAAAAAAAGGAATTAAAATTTTTTTTAGACATATCTATAATTTTAAGCGCTTGAGTTTAAATTTTCAAAAGGGGGGAAATGATACACAACAATGCAGTAAATTTTAACAATTCCTCCATTAAACTTAAAAAAAAACTCCAACAAAACATATTTCACAACTAGGTGTACAAAGACAGCTTCTACGCACAAATAATAATAATAATAAATGTTAGAGTGTCATGACAAACACATCTTAAAACTAATTGGTCATACTTCACATCGACAATAAAAGTGTGCAAGGAAATTGCATAGGACAGGCATGCCAAAATACAAAGAAATTATTGAAGGAAATTTTAAATAAAAGTGAGTTCAAGGGTTCTGAATAACCATACAGTAACATTTATACGATTGTTAAAAGATTTGGGTAAAAAAATTGAGCGCATCTGAATTGCCAGTTAAGACATTTTGGTGGCATCTGTGGAAAAAAAGATTATGTATCAAAATAACATGAGCATTGCATCACTGGCACTTAACAATGCGAAATTCATGTGTAAAAATACATTACATGTGAAATAATGACACAAGAAATCAATATATTTTTTTTCACAGACATTCAGGGATATGAACATTAGCTTTCTCACCAAATGAGTGCAACATATAAATTCAATGCTTGACCCAGGAAGAGAAATTCTCTATTTACATAATTACAAAGCACTCAATCTTAACTGTGATTTTGACAGTTGAAATCATTCACATGCAAATCATTTCCACTATTTATTTTATAGTATACACAAAGCGTCACAAGAGGTGTTACAATTGATATTATGATATGCTTATATAAATTGCAAAGAATATATAACACAATTAAATAAAGATAGTTATATTCAACCCTAGATAACTCTAAACATTTATTTAACTCTCTATAACTGAGAAATTTATTAACATTTTAACCCTTTGTGACAGAATATTATTAAACATATTTTTCATATTTTTTCATTAATTTAAGTCAAAATAAGTGAAAAATATATTAAGCATTTTAATAATTTATCTTAATGAAAAATAGCATGAAACACAGGTGTCTTTGCGATGTGAAAGGTAAAATTAGCCAAATGAATCTCACTTTGTACAATAATTTTTCAAAATTGTACTTTTTTGTAGTTATATTGATCTAAGAGAAATAGTTATTCATTACTGAAATTACTTTAATTTACGAAATCAATTATTGACAAATTTTTGAATATGAATAATTTTTTCTTCTTTTCAAACTACTTTTTTTGGATTTTAAATTTTAGTACAAATATAATTCCAATGATTTAAGATTTTTTTTAGTAACTATAAGACTGCTATATTTAATTAAATACCAAAATAAATATATTTTTTCTTGTAATTAGAGCGTTAGAAACAAAACGTAAAAAAAGGACACCATTGTCCTACTTGCATCGAAGGATTAAGAGTATAAACTCTTAATTCCTTCACTTTACTTTATTTCAATAAAAATTAAGAAATATTTTCTTGAACCCACACTATTTTGTTTGACATGACTAAAGGAAACACAAAGATAAATATACTTTAATTTCTTGCCTGTGAGCCAAATGATAAGTTACAGAGTTACACTAAATTATTTATAACTATCTAGGGTTAACGATAAACCACTTTAATATTGTTTTTCACGTTCTTCTGTTTCTACTAAACTACAATGTAATTCCAGTAAGCTTGTTAACTTCTCAAAACAATTTATAAAGCAAAAGATTTCTGTTTAATCTATTAAACAGAAATAACAGCACTATTTTAATTATAGAGTACCAAATATTAGAAGTTAATCAGACATACTTAAACTATTTTTATATAACAAGTGCACATGGGTCATTAATTGAAATCACTTATAATATCCTTTGCATATAAGCTTTAATGTAAGTTTGATTTAAGTTTAAAACTTAATCTATCAGAGATGCCAGTTCAATTCTCCATCTTTTATTTTATATAAGCAGCAGGGATTTAAAAACCACAATACACATCAGCATTACCATGAATTCAAGACCTGCGCCAGTTGCACCCAAAAAGTAAAAAAAAGCAAAAAAATTATAAGGGAGTTAATATTATATTTTTTCAAATCAAACTAAGCTTGTTTTTAAAATTCATGATATATTTTTGCTTAGAGCTAAAGCAGTTATTTGGAGTAATATTTTTTAAAGACCATTGAAACTTTATTTACGTATGCCAGTAACACCTTAATAATGATGAGTCAATTTTTAAAATTCATAAGTCATCTTTTAATATTTTGGCGCAGGGCTTAGCATAAGATTAAAAGTGGTTAAAGAAAAAATATTACAATACTTATAAAGAAAGGAAAAACTAAAAAAAGTCCATTTATAAGGAGAGATTGTTAAAAAATAATAATAAAATTTACAAAAAAAGAATAATGTTGAAAAAAAAAAGTAAAAGTATATATATTTGTAACATTTAAATAGGCCAGCAATGAAAGCTCTAACTAAATTTTTTTATTCTGAGAGATTTAAAAAGTTATCAAAATGACATTTGTACTGGAGAAGATAAAATAATCATTTTGAAAATAACCAATATTTCTATAATGATAACAGAGATACAGCTTCATTTTAGTAATTTTTGGAGTAAGCATTATTTTTAAAGCAAAAAATAAAATGCAAATTTTAGAATATTGAAGAAATACCAGTATAACAATTTATAAATAGATTTCACAACCTTTAAAACCAAAGATAAATATAAACTAAGATTACGTATGTTAGTGTCACTAAAGTTTTAAAACTCTAAACTAAACATTAAAATAATTGCACAATTAATATCACATTTGCAATAAACTTCTTAACAACCTAATTTAGCAACAAGAAAGTTCTAGTTTTACATGATATTAAAATTGTGAAATTAAAATATGAGTGTTAACGCAAAGAGATATGAGAGTAAAAACAAATGAAAGAAAGTCACCAGAAATGAAACTGAAACCTAAGATGAAAATTATTTTTCGTTAAGATGTTTATGAATTGATGGCTTGAATAAGAATTAAACTGTAACAAACTAACTCAAATAACATTAAATATTCATGGTAATAAAATTAATGTCATAAATTAAGTTTGAATTAAAATACATGAGAAAGACCAAAATAGAGTGAATAGGAAAGGCATCCACATAAATGAAGGGATCAAAAAAAATATATATAAAATTTTAAGCTACTAGAATGATATCCATAAAATTTGTGACTTGGTACCTTTTAACAATAATGTAGAGTGAGTCAAAATTTGAGGAACAAAATACTAGGGAAGATAGATGAAAGAATTGCACAATAACCCTTGACGGGAATAATTCTACAACACAATTCGCCAAATTATTAAATTATGATAAAAAAAGTTATTTCTAGGCTATTGAGAGCAATTTTTGACAATTCTCATTAGAAAAAATAAAATTAACAAAATTATATAAATAAAAATACCGGTTCAAATGCACGCTAACAGACAGTCCATGATAATGAAGCACCCTTAGTTCTGCGGGATTTGCAGTCATAGGTTGCAATACAATTCACAATTCTTATAAAGTGGTCTTCTACACCTAAAAGCTTCCTTCCTTAAGTGTTAAGTTATCCTGTATATTCTGAAATTAGATTAAATAATTCATTTGATCCACAAAAAATTGATCAATACAAATTCCCTTTAGTCATCAAAATAATTTAGCGAAATTCTAAAAAAGTACTAACAAGAATAGAAGAACATAAAAGATTATATTAAGAAGTATATTTTGTGAATTTTGGAAAATTAGCTTAAAAATTTGAATGTATTGAATATCAGGACTTAACAAAATACCATTCGATTTAAAGACTTAACTGAATAAATATTTCATTGGCTTACCATGATATGGTTTTAAACTTGAAAATTGGTTGCTTTCAGGCTGTTTAAAAAGAAGGGCACATAAAGAAAAAGAGTTCCTTATTGAAAAAAATCACCATAATAATACACATTTTGTGTATAAGCATGAATTAATAACAACAAGGCTGTCTTCCAAAGGCTTTGACCATGATATGGCTAACTAGCATTCAAATATGAAAGGAACTAAATTAAAATACAAAGTCACACTAGTTCATTTAACTTCACATTAAAAAAAAAAAAATTATTTTACAATTTCCCAAACATCTACAAAAAGAATAATTTCTTTATTTATTTTACCTATGAGTTTAAATCGATGATAATTCATGAAAATTTTCTTAATTTATCTAAGATATTGAGGGTAATTTTTTTATTTTTAAAAAAGATAATTCCTAAGGGATAAATCTTACCACGCCCAACGGCTCTGACACCATATGAAATAACACTTTTTAGCACATGATATACCATTTATATAACATTGAGAGTTTGTAATAGTTATTTATAACAGATAAGTCAGATATAACAGATGCTTATTTTTAACTAGCGCCATTTGGCTAATTATGAAAATGGAGCAAAATGATAATATAAAGCAAATTTCTGAAAATGAAAAAAAAATTTCGATCTAATTTGTTAAGATTTAGGAAGATACTCATAAAAATTTGCAAAAATTAAGAATTATTAATTGATCTTTAATGATATTCATTCAGGTGTAAAATTCTTTTACAAATTGGTGATTTTTAAAATTTTTTTTCCATCACTTTTAAAATATTTAAGTTATTTGTCCATTTTAAAACCCAGATAATTCTTCATAGCCAAATAGTATATATAAAGCTAATTATAGCTTTGCCTCGAACGTAAGGCACTTAAACTGCGATTTTTAAAAAAAATTTATTTTGTTTGAGAAAAGAACTTTCAAAGACACTGTTAAATCTTATGGCTAATTTCAAAATTAAATTTTTTCCACTTAAGAACCAGATATGAATTAACACTCATATTTTATTTACACAGCATAACAAGGAAATAGTTAATAAAATTAAAACCAGAAATCATTTTTATAGACAATATGTAAATTCAACTAACAATTACTGAGAATTAAATTTCAATTACACAGTACTAAAAATAAAATCCACCTTCTATTAAACAAGTTAGGGTGGCAAATGGCACTTGAACACACTTTACATCACAGATACAATATACATCAAAAAACAGTTGTGCAGCATTTGAAATGAACATAGAAATAAAATAGATATTTTTAGCTGAACTTTTCATAAATAGTAAATGGCATTGAATTCCTTATATATAGATATATTTATATATGCATCACTATATTTATGGTTGTTTAAAAATTCAACTCTCCCAGGTTTTATATTCTTGGGATTTTTATATTCTACAGTATATTTTAAATTTATAAACACAAACAAGTACATTGTTTATGGACTGCACACAAAACTTTCAGTAAATGTACATTAAATGCAATGAAAATGTACAACTGTAAAGCCATATAATTATCAAACAGAATATTAAATTTTATATTTGTGACAAAAAAATTAAACATTACAAAATATATTTTTTTTGCAATAATTAAACTGCATTTATACTTAAAAAATCTTGTCTTCATGATGAGACCAATAAAATAATTGAGATCAAAGGCAAGAAATAAATGAGAACACAATGTTTAATATATATATTATGCGATACCAACGACTGAGAGGTCAGGCTTCTGTGCCACAAGTTCGAGGTTCTATCCTCAGATCGGGCAAAGTTGACTCAGCCTCCGATCCCTTCAATGGGTAGATAAAATGAGTATACCAAGCATGCTTGGGTGTCTGCATTTGGCTGACAACCTAAGTGGAGCATCTCTGCTCTGCACCCCAGAGCCCACGGTCAAGAAAACTAAGATGAACAGAGTAGGCATATGGCTCACCAGGGACAGTCGCGTCACTGAGTTCAGTTTAGTTTTTAATTATTACGTATTTATATTAGAAAAATGCAGTCGTGAAAGAAAGGTACAGATTGAATCAGGATTTTTTTTAAATATAACTATAAAAAATAAATAAACTCTACTGAAAACCACCAGTTGATTAAAAATGCATTTACTTTGAAAAATCCAATATCCATCTGGACCTGCCCACAAAAACTGCATTAATCCACTAAATGTGATTTTTTTTCTCAAATTTGTCTGGCCTTCCAACTGGTCTATCATCTACAGATTTTGCAGTACTTGATACAGGAAAGATTACCTCTCACAAAAGTAGTGTTCATTCTCTAAACTATCTCAGATTATCAGAATCCATTTTAGTGTACTGTTTCGGAAGTTCCAGGGCAGGAAAAATCTATTCACAGTTGAAGGGTTGCAGAGCATTGTATAGAGATAGGGATATCACTACCATCATTTGCTCTATGACGTAAACTGTGTATGTGTGATGTGGTCATGCACCAAATCACGACTAAGGAAGAATTTTAGGCATGACTAATATGACAATTATAAAATTAATCAACCTGAATTATTGTTTTTATATTACTTTGAATCTTGATAACTATTACAAAAATGCTTAGTAAGAAGTGAGTTTTCTTTCATAATACAAAAATATAGCAAAGTAAATGCATTTTCGACCAACTGGTGGAATTTCAGTTGAGCTTTTTTTTTTAATTATTATTATCAGAAAAACTCTTATTCTTACTTAAGCAATTTTGCAATAACACATTGCACATTCATAATCATTTTACAACAGAATAATCTTTATGCCCATAAAGTTTAACTTTTTTTGTGTGTTTTTTACTTTTCATACATACTATATTTGCAATATAATAATTTCTGGAAAGTATAACCCAATTCCATATGTAACAGCGTAGTATAACTCTGTATATATCCATTTTACACAAGACTGTATACATAAATATTATCAGCAAGAAAAAAAAAACCCAGCAGATAACATTAGCAATTTCAAACTTTTACCTTTCATTAAGGGTTTCATCTTAAAACCTTCTTACGTCATTTTTAAAAGTTTTTATCTAAAAAGCTTCAACACAATTGGAGCAGAATAGGGCATTAATAAAATAATATTTGTCCCCATGTTTATCAAGATCTAAGGCTCTGATATAAAAAAAAGATGATAAAAAGCTTATTTTCATGAATAAAATCAAATTCTTTTTAAAAAGAACAGTTCAATTTAATTGATGAAACCAGCGATTAAATTCATAAGGTAAAAATTATGTATATAATTAGAAATACTACATAACCACTCGGTTAGTGTCAGAACAATACATTATTTCTTCACAACACTGTAAATAAATTTAAATGTATTAAAATTGTGTCCAGCCCATAAACAAATGGCAAGGAAAGGTTGATAACAAGAAATAAAATACTAGTAGTATTGCATTGTTTCTTATGTACATTCAGAGGGAAAAAATCGGATTTCCTAATATTTCCATTGCCTCCATAGTACTGTATGTATACATATTTATAGTATATATATATTTTTTGTTAAATTACAATGTAAATTACACCAAGGGCATGCAGTTTGAAGCAATATGTGTCTGCATAACTCTTCAGTCAGATTTTTCTCTTTCACAAATAACCCTCAGTCATATGTCCTTGACTGCTTCATTATACATATCATAAATAAACAACCTAATTTGTTGGTGTTGCTGTGCTGCTAGGTGTTTTGTTGGAAAGAGACGTTGCTCCAGCTGTCGAATTAAGAGCCTGTGAGGAAGTTCCGAGTAGGTTTGTGCTGCTGTCCATTGAGTTCCCAGTGCTTGACATTGCTAACTTCCTCATCTGGCGAATCACGGCAGTGGCATTATAAGCTTGCTGTAAATATAAACAACATAAATAAGGAGTGCAAAATATGAAGAACCTGATCAAATATTAAAAGTTGTGCCATGATAGCTCATTGGATAGAATGCACGCCTCTTAATGACCCAGAGTTTGAAGCCCAGCGATGGCATGTTGATGCGAATTCTGCATCTGGCTCGTACCGACCACTGTGCTGATGTTATAATTTTATAATGATGTCAAGAGTCTCCTTGCCACCAGGCTAACCGTGGTAGGGTTTATTGGTTTTTCTCACCATGTTATGCAAATGTGGGTTAGTTCTGTTGGAAATATGATTGATAATCGCGTCAAATCAGTCGAATCTATGCTCGTTGCTTTGTAGAGTCAGTCCTTTTGTAAAGTCATAGGTTGATGTCATAAAAGTTCAATGTCAGGTGTTCATCAGGAGTGGTAACAAACTGCGCTCATGAAAAAATGTTTTTCTCATGGGTTGAAGCCAGTTACTACTCAACTCTTTACCTGCTTGTAAAGATAATTTATGTAAGATGCTCAGTATAGCTTGTAATTGGTCAATTACGTTGAATCTCGATGTTTAAAAGGCAGAGACTTAATAGAGCTCTCTCTCCTTTTGTTTTGATAAAGTTGCAATGTAAGTTTTCTAGAAAAGGAGTCTCGCACAGGACTCTATGATGTGTAGTTGTTAGTACGTTACCTTGTTTGTTCATCTAATCACTTGTATTTTATTCATGTGTCACTGTATGTTGATATGTATTTTTAAAGGCTGCTTTATGTTTTGAACAGATAACATGAAACAACAGAAATAAGAATGGCATGACAAAATAATAATTAAGCTGATAGTATTTTAAATATATACTTTTAAAGTTTAGTTGATTAAATTTAATTAAAGTTAAAATTATGAAACATTAATGTTTTCTAAATAAAATTGATATAACAATTTAATATAATTAAGTGTTAACTAAATACCTTAATTTAAAGATTACTACTTAACTTTAACTTATTAGTATTTTATACAAACATTTTTAAAAAGTTGAAAATTGAATTAGTCTTTATAAATCTATGCCTTGAATTAAAATAAGTTAGCTGAAAATTTAAAAAAAAGAAGACAGAATTGAAGAGTTTCAAAGAAAAAAAGTTTCTTCTCGGATATACTGATTTCAACTATATGACCAGATCATAAAAAAGGACAAAGAAATTAATAAACTATATAAAAGGGACAAAGAAATTAATAAAATAAACTATATAAAAGAGAAAATGAAATTAATATGAATACAAAAGCAATATTCATATTAATTATATTTCTAAACACAAAAAATTATTAAAAAGTTGCTAAAAATTTCATACCCTCCACTTAGTTTTGGCAAAATTTTTCTTCAACTGTTCACTGACACTGGCTTGAATATTTTTGTCACTAGCAGTATTGCCGCTAATCCTAAATGAAATCACAAGTTTTAAGATTAAAATGGAAGAGATAATATTGTACACTAAATAGATCGTATTTCAATTTTAAGAATATAGAATTTACCATGGATGTGCCAATGCTTGTTTACACGTGTATCTTTTTTCCATATCGACACATATTAGATGTCTAATGAAATCTTTTGCTGTCAGATAAACAAAAAAGAACATAATACATTAAAATAAATGAATAATCAAGTTTGAAATATAATGTATTTTAATTAAGATGCAAAGAAACCTATTAAGGTGACAAATGGTATCCTATTTACATTGAAAACATACCTACACGATTCTTAAATATGCATTTTGTATTTAATTCTATTAATATTATAATGGTCCTTTTATACAAAATTGCACTTAATTTGAGCAATTTTTTACATGTAACTACAGATTATGAAGTATTTAAGTTAAATGAATTCATTAACATTCTCACTAATACTTAAAATCTACTTTTCCCTTTCTTTCTTTTAGGACAATTATACAAACTACATTCAATATTCAGCTGAGCTTAAAATTTTATATTTCTCTGCATAGTTATAAAATTACAACCTATTAGAATGAAAATTTAGAAATAGAATTTACATTTCAAGTAACACTAGAAAATGTTCAATTTCAATTTTATAATTAAGGACCTGGACATAAATGCAGAGAAACTACCATCATTTTTCTGAAATATAGCAGGGAGAAAAGCTGATTTATTATACAAAACTGCAATAATACAGAAAAATTTAAATTCCATGCACATAGATAATAAAAAAAATTGCCTTAATTAAAAATTAATTACATTTTAATGAAAAGCACGGATGAACATAAATAACAAGTAGTGTATTTAAAGGGAAAATTAATACCTGAATCTGAAATTTCATCCCAATATGGTGAGTCAAATTCAAATTCCCCTTTAAGAATTTGTGCAAATAAATTGGCATCATTTTCATCATAAAATGGAGGGTATCCACAAAGGCTTTAAACATAAATTTAAAAATTATTAAAAATATCAAGAGGATTTAAAAACATACAAACAAAAGAATCTGGGAAAAATATGAAAGAAACTTTCTCAACTTTTCCGTGATTTTTAGACTTTTGAGCTAAAAATCCAAAATATCTTTTTCAAAAATTTTTTTTTAACAGAAGCTAATCATAAAATATTAAATAATAAGAAAAAAACACACAAATTTTGAACTTATCTTAAATGATTTAACACGTTTTGACAAATGTGTTTCAAACTTTTTAATCAAACAAGTTTCTTTTTAATGAAAACCCGTTTTCATTAAAAAGTGTTTAGTAAAATTAAGTTTAAAATTAAAAGAAAATTAAAGAAACAAAAGCAAACTACGCTAAACATAAATTAAAATGTTAAAAAATAATAATCAAATTAGATCAACATAAGTATCATAAAATAAATTACAAATTTGATAAATGATTATTTTTTATTACATATTGGATGAGAAAAATTAGGATCAATGCTCACTTGGAATAAAACAATTTAAAAAAAATCTTAATGTTCAATTTTAGTAATTTTGAACAACGGAACAAATATTTTTTAAATCTTGATTTTTACTTACTAAAAAGATTTAAAGAGAGGAAAGAAATACTTAAAACATCTCCCAATTATTTGAGAATAAGAAGAAAAAATTAGAGTCAAAATTTTAAGAGTAATAAATTTAATTGTTAAATTATAGAAAAGTTTTTAAGATTAAACAGAAAGCTAAGATCAGCAGAATAGATTTCAAAATCATATGATTAATCATATTTTAAAGTTCATTATATAATTATAGTATATCCAAACGTAAATTCAAATTCTTAAGTGAAATTAATTAAATAGAAGGTAAAAATGAAAACAACCTTAAATACATTAATTCAAATTGGAATAGCGCTCAAGGCAGCTAAAACCAAATTCAAATCATATAAACTAGTAATAATATAAATTTACTCAAAAATAATTTAAATAAAAATTACTCAAAAATAGTTAAATAAAATTAAATAAAATTTAAATAAAATTTAATTAAAATTTAAATAAAATTTAAATAAAATTTAATTAAAATTTAATTTAAAATTAAATACAACTAAAAGGAGAGAAATGAAAGAAAAGTATAATATAATATAACAGTTAATTTAAAACCACGGATATACTGGGTACCCAGGAAATTACTTGGCACTCGGCCAAATTTGAATTAGTCTGTCATTACCCGGCAAGGCGAAATTTTTTACTACTCTGCAAACAGACTAGGGCATTTTGCGAGGCAACATTCATCTGTGTTCAGCACAGTCATATTCAGAGTTTTAGTAACCATAAACCTATTCATAAAAATAGTCTTCGTTATGGAAATTCTTGTATAAAATCATGTTATTAATAATTAAGCTGAAATATTTGGTTTAGGCATAAGATATTTTATTCTTGTGTGAAAATTTAATTTAGAGAATTCTTAGTAAAATGGATACATGGTTTAGGGCAGAGATATTTGCTACAAGGATATTTTCAAATTTAGATATTCGCTAAAGAGATATGTTCACTTATAAGAAGGACATGCTAATTCTCAAATCTTAACAAAGTTAAAAAAACAAGTCAAATTATTATGACTACTTGACAGTTTTATGCATAATGAGCTATTGCGTAACAGTGTTGCCACTAGGGGGTGAGACAGCTGCAACCAGCTCGAAGCGCTGCAACCAGTATCAGCAAAACGACTGCTCTTGTGAAGAGTTTGACAGCAGCAGTTATTAACGTGTACAGAGAGTGGACTTCGAAGCAAAAAGCAGAGTCTCAACGTCAGACTTGCAATCTCCATAGGCTACTGAATGCTCATGCTGAAAGGAGACTTGCCATAGTAGTCCAGTCCAACAGCAGAGCAACAGTGCGTCAAATAACGGGGAATCTTAATGAAGATGCAATTGCGAACTTTTCTGAATGAACTGCGAGCCGCACATTGCACTGCATGGGAGCGGACGACCTGTTCAAAAGCCTCTGCTGTCAGCCTTGAACAAGAGCAGACGTCTCCAGTTTACAAAGGAGCATAAGGATAAATTTTTATAAATTTAGTGCAAGTTTTTTTTAATGCCTGATTCTTTCACATTGATAGTGTTTCATAACGATAGAAAAAGCTAAAATTATAAATTTAGCATATTTCTAATAGGTTATATCAAAATATTTTAACAAAAATATAAGGTTATAGTCTAAATATAGGTTATATTCTAATAAAAATGCAAGTGAAAAATATTTTAATTTATTCAAACATTTCTTAAAGCACAAATTTTAACCTCCCATCTAATCAATAAAATGTTTAATTAAAAGTTTAGAACACTCTATGTTTCATTTCAAGCATAACTTTATAATGAGAATAACTATCACAATGGATAGTTTAACTATTTCATGTGATAGTAAAATTTTTTATTGCAATGTCGGTTCAACTGAACAGATTACTCTGGCAAATATTCTGCAAGATAGATTGTAAAATACAGTAGGAAACAGATTAAAACGATCGGGACCATCGCTATTCAGGATAACTGATTTTTCCGGTTTTCTGAATCGCTACAAAAAACCGTTTTTTTTTTATTGTTAAACCCAACTAAAAAAAAAAATATTTGGAAATAATCTTAAAAAGAAGAAAAAATGATTAAGTAATACACTAATGATTATTTCCAAAATGATGGTAAGGTAAACATCTTTCAAAAAAGAAAGAAAAATCCTAAAATCTCATGAGGGAAAAGCATTTTTTTTAAAAAAAAATGGCAGGAAAATTTATCGAATTTTGTTCTGGTTTTTTGGTTTTCTGATTTCCGGATAACGGGTTCTGTACTGTACTATAAAATGAGGAATATACTTTTCTTTCTGTTGAGTGAGATAAATAGGCAAAAAGTCTCTTAAGTTTTTTCCTTTTGTTAGTCCCCTACTACTAAAAAAAAAGAAGACAAGAGAGGTTTCACAAGGTAATGAATAAAATTCATTTATACGATACAACTAATCAAGACACACATCAATCATTACTTACAGGATATAAGCAATGACTCCTATTGACCAAACATCCACAGCTTTGCCATATGGTTTTTGTGCAAGAACTTCAGGAGCTGAAACAAGAAACAAACTTAGATATTGTCCCACATGTAATAATGGAAATATAAAACATGTTGAGATGCAAGAAATTTGAAATTTAAAGCACTGTTATCATGACTTCTCAAAAGTACATTGATTCAATGAAATTAAATCCTCATTTGGTTGCATTGCAATATTGCTGGAAAAATCACAAACATTGAGGCAGTAACTATATAATTTAATGAAACAAATGGATCTTCATATTTTCCATAAAATAAGGTATTCTAGAATCAAGTCAGTTACAAATTTGTTATTTTCTAGACTCATAACGAGAGACAGGGTTGTCATATACTATTAAATAACTAAAATATAAAAAATAATTAAATCAATTTTATTTAATTTTCAAATGAATGCTGTTTTATCATAATTCAATGATTTGGTGAGCTCAGCAAGATAAGTTTAAAAATAATCAAATTACAATGTTATAATATCTTGACATATTATAATGCAATTATATAAAACTACGGTAGTTTAGATAAATAAAAGTACCAGTTCAAATAGGGATGAACAGCCAGTTTATGATGTGTAGGATTCCAAGTGGAGTACAAGGACATTTGCTGACATAAGTTGCTATTTAAATGTCAATTTTTATGTGCCCTATTTCTCCTTTAAGCTTGTACTTAGAAGATCTCTATATGTTAATGACAAAATATAGTAACATAACAGAAGTTCATTAAATTTTGTCTAACATCACTCTCAAGGAATTCCTTTTTTATGTAATGCTTAAGATTTAATTTCTTTTACATTTGAAAACATAATTTTTGTTTTGTTCAGGTGATTTTTAGAACTGGTACACCAAATATTTATCTGAATATACTGGGAGATAGATCATCAATTGACTTAACAAAATATTTTATTCGGAAAGAAAACTAATTTCATTCAAGATTGCGAGGAAAAATCATACATGAATGGAAAATCTCACAGACCTACATATCCAGGTGTACCACATGCAGTAGCCATTATTCCTGAATCTTCCATTTTGGAGAGACCGAAATCACTAATCATGATCTTGGAATCTTCATCTGGACTATAATACAGTAAATTCTCTGGCTAAAAATAAAATTAAATATATTAACTTAAGATACGTGAAAAACTTCAAGTTCTGAGATAGTCAATTAGAGCTCTCTTCAACTTTATTGACACCTCTTTTCACAGTATGTCCCAATATTTAGAGATGGCTAAAAATTTCAGCATTTATTAATTCATCTTGATAAACGTGGGTTTGATACTTAGTTTTCCTGGGTCTCAAGTTACATTGAGATTCTAGACAACGATGGGATCTAGACTTATTCTGAAACTCAATTTGCCACTATTGCCCTATTTAAATCTGCATCCTTTTCAGACATAAAATTACATGTTTGACAGTTTATAACATCTCTATAGCAAAAACAGTGGATTCTTAAAATTAATAACAAATTGCATGCAAATTTTAACCTTTTACATGCATTGTCTACATAAGCTGACCCACCTTTGAATCAACCAGACTTGATTGACTCATGTTCATTTGTTGTTCGGTGAACCTCCTTCACTCAAATGTAACATTTTATTCAAGATTCATAACAATTTGATTGTTTGCCCATATTTTAAACACTTACTTGTTTCGGTTGCTCTATTTTAGGTAAGAAAGATTTGTTAGATGAGGCCCAGAATGTTAACATCGTTGTATTTTTACACACTATTGGTGTTTGACACTATATATAACTGTTTTTAATTAACTTCATATCACATTACCTATGCAACACTTCAACTTATTTAGCGCAATTTTAATCTGTTCACAATTCTATCTAGTTTTATTAACTTTTAAAAACATTTGTGCATTATGAAATGTGATAACAATTACATGTGTTTTAGTGAGATAAATTTGTAGGTTTGTATCTTACCGTTTGATTTGTTTTTATAAACCGTTTGTTTGGCGCAAAATGTCTTTTCTGGACTTGGTACTATAAAGCCATATATTTAATTCAATTATAAAGAGAAAAAAAAAACAGGCATAACAGGTTTGAGACAAGATAAAAATAATTTCATTTATTTCTCTATTAATTACTTCCCTTACTTATTTTTTTATTGAAAATTACTTGAAACTTCTGGAATATATTTTTTATTAATTGAAGAAATGTGATGATTTGAAAGCAACAAGGCAATATTTGTAGATGAATTTGAACTAAGGATATAATTAAGAGACTCCAATAGTTTACACATTAAAATTACTAAAAGTAAGTACAAGTGGTTTTCTGCTTAAATCAAATTAAAAACTATTAATGGATCAGCTGACTATGGTGTAGTTATACTAAATATAAGAATGATCAATAAATGCATTAGTTGAATAAATAAATAAAACTATACTGTATAACATTTCCAAAAATAACTACATTTTAAATTATTTTAGAACTTAAAATACCTTTAAATCTCTGTGGACAACACCTTGGGAATGCATGTAATCTACAGCTTCTAAAATCTGGCGAATTAAGTGACTAGCATCTTTTTCTGTATAACTCCCTTTTTCAACAATTCTATCAAATAACTCACCACCAGTTACTCTTGAAAAAAATATTAAAAAGATGTAAATAAACCAGAAAGAACAGAACTGTATGAAATGCAATAATAAATAATATATGAACAACGATAGTCATTTAGAGTAGGGTGTAATATATCTATATAAAACATAATCAGTAGCTCTTTGAACACCAAATCTTTGCTTGAAATTGTAATAATTATTTTTCATAATGTAAAATGTATGAATGCAAACACAGACAGAAAAAGATATAAATTAATAATATTTGAAATTCATTTATGCACTGCCCTCTTAAGTTACCCGTTTTTAGTGCCTAATTTGAAATGGAATGAATATGCACTACATAAAACAAGAAATTTCCAGGAAATGTAAGCTGAACAGTTTTTTCTTCTTCTCTTGATTGTCCCCCAACCCACAAACATATTTTCCTTAAAATAAAAACGTTTGATTCTATTATTTGCAACTTATTAACTGACATAAAAAAGATGTCCTTTACAAAATCTTGGAATTCTATTTGATTCCAAATTTTAAAATATCTTTCAAAAACAGCTGAATGTATTGACAGAATTAAAGCAACAGTAACTAATTCAGATTTGTTATTATTTCAACATTAATTGGCTAATTTTAGCAAGAAATCTTTTTGATAAACTGCAGATTGAAATAACAGGTTTAACAAACATTTTAAAAGCAATATTTTCACTCTCTGTGAAATTATCAGACGCCCGGTGGCTGAGTGGGCGAGCTTCGGGCTCCCCTGCCACATGTCCTGGGTTCGATCCTTGGGCCAGGCAAGGTTGACTCAGCCTTTCATCCCTTCAGTGGGTCGATAAATGAGTGCCAAACATGCTTGGGAACTAAAGACTGGGGGTTCCACGTTCAGCGGACCACCTGACCGGAACATCTGCCCCTGCACCCCAGAGCGCAAGGTCAAGAAAACTGAGATGGGCCCAGTAGGCCTTGGCCCTCTAGGGGCTGTCACGCCACTGAGAGATAGTGAAATTATCAACGAGCAAATTTCAATTCTGATAGGTTAAATATGCAACAAGATACATATAAGCAGACTCTGTCCTTAACTGCAGTATGCAGGTGGCATTGAATATCCTTGCTGCTAACTTAGTTATCGTTGGCGTAAATGAGGAGTGAAGATAATTGATATAGCTAATTTTATTAGTCACGAGTTGAAAAAAAAATTCAGGATTTTCAAGATTTCCAGACTTGAGAAGTTTGGGTTTTCAAAATTATACTGTACTAAAGATAATGAATACATTTATACTATTTTAAAGGAATTATTATTTTAGATTTTTCCTTCTTAGATTAATGTAAAAAAATTGGTTAGATATGAAACATAATTAGTAAAAAAATATAAACTTCATTAGATACACATATTATTAAATCCCTCTTGAATATAGCATAGAAATATACTTATGATACACTGCATTGAATTCTAAAACATATTTCTTAGCAAAAATGTATCATGCACGAAATTGAAGATTGATCCCAATATAGATAAATAAAATTTAATATTTCAATGGAACAATAAATGCTTTACTTTTAAATGAATGGAAAAAAATTATTAAAATTTACGTTGATTTTCAGAAAACAAAATAATTTTTTAAAAATATAATTAGGGAAAACTATTACTTTAAAGCAATTTATCATAGATTATAAAATGAGCTTCATAAGAAACATTATATGATTTCTATGAAAAATATAAAATGAGTTATGAAATGTAATAAATTAAATTATTGCTATCAGCATATAATTTTGAGACGCATCAACTTAGGAGGTAGATACTTACAATTCCATAACAAGATAAACCTTATTTTTATCTTCAAAAGTTTCCACAAGTTGCACAATGTTGGGATGCTTCAATCTGTGAATAATTAAATAAGTAAACAAAATATTTCATTTTTAACTTATTTTTACAAAAAAAGGTACATAAAATGTTAAACAATAAAAACATCACACAATTTAGTTTTTTTTCATAAAGTTTGTTTAAGTTTAAACACTAAGCAGGGGGAAAGGTTCTGCCTTTGTCAATTTCTCAAAAATATACTAATACATTTGATGATTTTAAATTTAGACTTAAATTAAGTTTCTTTCACCAATGTCCAGTTTATGAGCAAATATATTTCTGTTTTGTAATTTTAACTAATTAAAATGTAATTTTGGGATAAAAAGAGGAATTATTCATATAAATACATAAGAAATTAATATAAAACTAATTACAAATATTTCTTCTCTTCTAGTAGAAACAGAGAGTCTATTAGGGACATCATAGACTATTTCTGAAAAATCTCACAAAATTCTCAATGGAAGAATTTTGTAAAGGATCCATTTTTAAAGTTAAAAATATTTTGAAAAGTCTGCTTTTAAAAAAATTATTGTTTGAAGGGCCTGTTAATGGACTCAAAACAAATATAAACAGGCTCCTGATAAGATAATGTTTTTGGAGTAAATGGAATTGACACCCTGCATCATCTTAAACAAAACACTTTTAACTAGTTCAAATAATTTTCAACATATCTCACTTTTAAAAACATTATAGTTACAGAGGATGTTGGTCGCCATACGCTTATCTTAAGCTTCTGTCTTAAGGTTTTTTTTCCACACAATTTTTTATTGAGGGATTTAGCTAATTTTTTGCTTATTCAAAAACAAGGCATAGTTAGATAAATTATGAATGAAAATCAAAATCTTTCGCAGACAAGCATCATGTATGATAAGAAACCTTTTGATCATACTGATAAAAATATAATTTTATGAATAATTTCACTCCTTTTTACACAATATACATGCTTTAACATACAGTACGCTTATGCTTTCTTCATTACAATATAAAAATGATTAAAATTTGTTTATAGTAATTTAATATATTTTAATTTAATTTTAAATAATACACTAAGATAAAAATATATTACATTATTAGATTTAACAAAAATGTATTATTAGGCATTTGTAGACTAAAAAATGAGAGCTACAAATTGCATAAAAATACAACAATATTCATACACTAAACTATTATTTAACAACAAAAAATATGCATTTCCTAAATAAAAAATGATAGATCAAATGTTAGTTTTTTACCACTCTGCAGCAAATGTCATAAAAATATAGCAATATAACTTGCATGTTAAACATGCACTGCAGAAAAAAAGATAAAATAATCAACACATAAAAATCAACAAAATATAAAGACATTGAAGTTATTTACATATAAAACACACATTCAATTTTTTTCCCTACAAAATTGTTCATAAACTTAAGCCAATCTTTTATCAACACTTTAGTGGATGCACAGAAATAATAAATGCATTCAATTATAAAATTAACTCCACAGCTATATTTAATCTCTTCCCTAACAATAAATATAACTCTTTAATTATACAGCAAACATGTTCCCTAGCACTATTTGAAACAAATTCAGAATAATTGTACCGGGCAATCACACTTAAACTTTGTAGAATCAAGAGTCAAAGTGGTCATTGTAAGCTTGTCTAACACAAACACTACTTGTGTGTAAAGGTTCGTAAATCATTGTGGTTTAGAGAGTTATGTCACATGAGCAATCTATGATATGCTGGAAACCAAATTTTACCAAAAAGGAGCTACAAAATTGGTTATTTATACTGATAAATTATCATAGCATCCTATACGCATCTTTATCGGATGAAATTACAAAATTAAAAAGGGGAATTTATCTTTCACTGTTAATATTAATCTCAACTATTTTAAGCATCTTATTTTACACAAAACTATACTAAATAATTATATATTTTGAGAAATAAAGAGCTTTAAAAAACTGATAACTATACTTGGCACCCTTACCAAGATAAAAGGGTAGTTTTCATGCTAAGAAATAATTTCAAGTAGAAAACTTTAAAAATATAACTTTATTTTAATTTTCATATTTAAATACCTTAATCAGTTAAGCAATAATGTATGCAACTCTAGCGTAGTTACTTGCTCTTTGGCTGTTAAAAAAAAAAAATGAAACTTTGCTCAATACGGTACAGCTAACATAATTTTGACACAGAGGGAAAATAATTAGATCTAAAGGAAACTTCACTAAGTATTTTAACTTATTCCACTATCATTCTCTTTCACAATTCTAATTTGGACAATTTAAAAAATGCTTGCTATAACTTTTTAAAGATAGGATAAGTTACCATCTCAAATGGTTATAAACAAAGTATTTTACAAATCAGATAAAATCTTTCAACATTTCAATGTAAATTACAATAAGAGTTTTAACATATACAATATAGAAGCTTAAAATCGTTTTGAACAAATTTTAAGACCAACTTATTTACTGTATCAAAATTCAGGTTTTTAGAGGCTCAAATTAAATTTAAACATTTCTTCCTCATCTTCATACATTTTGTTATTCAAATGCATATCCAGCCAATAATTTATTTCCCTACTTGAGAAATTTTCTAGCAAAATTAAATTCATATGTAAACAAATGTTAGAAATAAGATCTAATATTAAATAATATTTAATTTAAGCATCAAAAACTTTCATATGCTAACACAGACAGATAAGTACGTTTACATTAATAATCTTTTTTTAAAAAAAGAAAAAAGATGAAGCGAATTTCAATTTCTAGTTACCTCCTAAGAACTTTAATTTCATTTTCTAAAGAATCTTCCTTTCCTTTCAAAGCTTTCTTGTCAATGCACTTTATCGCATACATTTTGGAACTTTCCTCTTTACTTTCAGCTAGTACTACTTGAGAAAAGGCACCCCTAAAGTAAATAAAATAATAACTATATGGTATTTTTAAGAAAAATAAATTAAGAGTCTTCCTATTTGTACCAAGTGACTGGTAAAAACTAGAAAGAAAAAAAAAAAAAAAAAACTGAAAAAGTGGAAAAACTGGAAGGGACTAAACGTGATTAATACAGTTGTTTAGCAATATTATAAGAATAGCTTAAAATTGAATTAATCAAACTTAATAGAGAACCAGAAAGTCAAAAAATTTAACATATTTTTTTAAAGAAAAATAATTATTTCCACATTATTTACTTTAGTTTTATACTGAAAAAACAGTATATCATATTATTTAAGAGTCAGATTGAGTATTCCTACTTATATTATTTGATTATAAAAATCAGTATGCTATTTGTAACTGTGATTTCAATATGTGACTTGTAGTAGTATATATGCCTAATATATAATTTCTAAATTTAGTAATACGTACTATTCATAAAGTTTGATTATGATATTTTAAAATGTCTTTATATAATTATAAAATAAGGCTTTGCTATACCTATTTACTTAAAATATTGAAGGACTACAGTTATTTCAATTTCTTAAGAAATGCATTAAATTTACTTTTTCCTATTTGTTACATTTTAGGTTTTACTATTTTATTACAACTTATTTACTATTATTACATATTTAGAAATAATACATTAAATAGCTTGGAAATTATTTAAACTAAACTTCATTAATAAACTATTTAAAACAATATTTTAATATTTGATAATCTTTTTCAAAAATACGAGAGTTTTGAAAAGAGTCTTAAATTTGGTTTTGAAGAAACCTATTTATTCCAAAATGGAATTAACTTTTCAAAGCGGAATAAACATTCCAATGTGGAATAAATTTACCATCCCTGTGAAAAAAGTATTTAACCTGAATGATCTAGCAGCAACATTGCATTATTTAAATAATAACGACAGAAGGATGCACATGCGGAAAATCATTATTTTGTAACAAGGTATGCTTCAGTATGATTATAACAGATGATTTGGCAACTATGCACAGATTTTATAGTAAACACATTAATCATAAATTTATTTTCATTTCTTTCCAGTGCTGCAATGAAGTGTTATTGATAGTTTAAATTTGTTTATGCCCAAATCTGAGATTCTAATGAACTTATCTTTATTTTCTTTACGGATACATCACTAATATCTCAGTATAAGCTCGTCACTCTATAAATAAAAATTTATTGTTACAAACTTGAACTAAATATAACTATATTAAAAGTGTGGAAAAAATGGCGAGATTAGGTTTACAAAATCACAAATGTGAATCTTGTCAAATTAATACTTAAAGAAAAAGTCATAATGGTAATAAAGTTAGTTCGACTAAAATATATATACCTAGAATTTAATGGTAATATGAGATGGTATTAGGAATATTTTAAGGGTTTCTGCTAATTAAGAACACTGGTTCTCTGCAACAAATCATTCTAGGCTGCATGTATGGAGACATACAGTATTTGTTACAATAAATATCGGTGCTAGAAGGCAAGCACGAAAATGTAGATTGGCTATTAATTAGAAAAACAGAAAAATTTACAAAAGAATTCAATCATACCTATTTTTGTGATTTTGGCAGAAATTATTTAGACTGAATGATTTTATAGTTATTCTAAAATAAAAAGAAGAGATTCAGGTATTAAAATAGGAACATCGCTAAGAATAATATCTCTTTTGAAAGATGGCTCAGGTAAAGCAATACAATTATCCTATATGCTGGTTTCCACATTAAATGCAGTCAAAATAAAAGAAAGTGACAGCAAATCGAAAATGCAAGAAAATAATTTTTTATTTTTCAAACAAAAAGCAAAGATTGTGAAACCTCCATGAAAGACTAACTCTATGTAGCAAGCACTTTTGGGAGGTACAGAATTTTTTCTATAGACTTGGTGTTAAAGTAAACCTTTAAAAGAGAGACCATCAAAACCTCTCCAAGTGACCAGACAGACTTCTGCACAAAATGCAGAAAAGGTCTAATAAGGAAACACAAAAAATATATATATCAATACAAATAAGTAGGTATTCAAAATATTTGTGTGAGGTTCTGATTTAGAGAGCGCTTTTTAATGATATCCGAAAGAGATCTACAAACCTCATGCTGCAGTTAAAATGCACTAAACACGATGCCATTAATGATTTATTTTTAGAGTTGAAAGTCAAATTAGAAGAGAAAAAAAAGTTATTTTAGAACAAAAACTTAGCATCTCAAACAAACAAACCTCTTCTCATTTTTGAATGCTAACTCATTTTTATGATTTAAAATTAAATGCTAACTTACACAAAAACATAATAGTTCATTTGTTTAAAATAGTTCTATCATTCATAATTGGTAAATTTGTTTTTACACATAATTACATCAGTAGGGATAATTTTTATTGACCAGGGGTCTGTTTAGAAGAAATTTGGGTCCATTAACAAACCCTTCACAAAATATCTTTCCATAAAAACGTACCCTTTACAATTTTTTTCAATCTTCATTATTGTTTTGTTAGTCGAATAAACCCTTCCCGAGAGAAAAAAGAAAAGAAAGAAAGACGGCTCGAAATGAACTAAGTTTCCCTAAGTTTAAATTCCAAATGTAGTATTCTAAGAAAATATTTCTACTGCTACAAACATCATGTGCACATTCTTATTGATATTAAATAACATATTTTTTTAAATAAATACCTAATTGATCAATTTATATTTATTCATAAAATTAATTAATAGAATATTATGTAAATAAAAAATAATTAAAGGCAATTTCTTAAATAAAATATTTTAAATTTAAGAATTGTTTAAGTTTACTTAATGCGTAACAGATTAAAAGTGATACATAACTAAGCTGGGTTATTTAAAAGATGTCAATTGAAATTATTAAAAAGGTGAGCGATTTTGTTTCAATTATTTGTCCAAAATGAATATTCTGTGTTGAGCCAGCAGTATAGGCTAAATACCAAATATTTGTATGTTGCATCTCTAATTTAGTAGCAGCAATTGTTGAGCAGAATCTTGTGTCTATTTACAATTTCAAAACTTCTTGAAAAGGTTTTTAGCAATTTTTGGAATAACAGGTCCCTATTTACATAAATTCACAAAAGCAGGATCCTGGTTGAAAGAATGTGACTTAATGCTTATTTTATATTCACAAATTATGAGTAGTTTTTTCACAATTTTATAAAAACAGGACCTTTCACAAAATGTCTGGACAGACCCTTGTTGACGGCCCTTGTTCATCAATTTGGTTTTCATAACGACAACACAAGTGACATTTCTGTACCAAGAAAATGACACTGACTAAAATAAAATTTTTTGCAAAAAACCATGTTCCTTTGATAATTAGAGAGGTAAAACCTAAGAATGGTCAACCTCCATTTTACTTTGGAGCAGAGAGTGGCTGCTCCCGAGAGGTTTCTCTGTATAAAACTACTTTTCAGCAGAGATAGTACTTTAGTTAGCCAGTAGGCAAATTTTCTTTGACATTGAAAATCAAGTTTTTTAAGCCTGCATTTTTAGGAGGCTCAGACGATACTTTATTCTTGTGTTTGATCTTTTGTTTAAAATGTTGGTGCAATATGACCCAAACTATTTAACTTGCGGAAAATATTCCTTCATCTAATCATCAATTGCTACCAAATTCATGAAATAATGATACGAATGATGGTTTTAAATTATGCTGTTGCATTGCCAGATTGCCAGCTGCATTCAAGATTATAGTTGAACTCTAAGAAGATAGGAACAAAGCAAAATTTACCAAAATTAATAAACAATATGTGAAATAACTATTGTTAAATGAGAATCATTACATTATAATAATATGACATGTGCAAGAGCATTTTTGCATGAAAGAACATTTTTTAATATCAGTAGTGGCCCTATTAAGCAGAAAAAAAAATTGGCTACAACAATAGAGCTGAAGGGAACAAACAAGTGTTTCATTAAACATCGTTAGAAATAACAATTTTTACAATGACTTATCCTTAAAAGTTTGTCTAAATACTACACGCATATAGAATCGGCACATTTAAGCTGACTAACATTTCGGGGAAAAAAACCGAAAACTGGTTGTCAAGTTTATTAAAAAAATAAATTCTATTATAGAATTTCTACCAGGGATTTCTGTTTTCAGAATATTAAATTGTGAAGGCAAAGCAGTGATTTTTTGAACAGCCTTTTAGAAACTTTATTACCAGTTATTTAAAAGAAAAATGCACTTCAGATGCTGATCAATTTAAATACTCTTATGATTTATATAAGTTCCATCTGCTCAGTAGGCACAAGTAATATTAATATTAAAAATTTTCAGGGGCACACATATTTAGACAAAAATAAAATCATCCACATTTTTACAAATTTTCTAAAATAGTAAAAAACATAATGTAAAATAAGTCAACCTACTGCCAACGTTAACCATTTCGTTATAAATGCATATTTAAACAAAAATGAATATAATGTAATATATGTTCTGCATATAATGTAATATACATTGGAACAGATTGATTAAAATAATAATAAACGTAAAATAAACCATCAGCATTTACTGATAATGTTTTATAAAAAAAATTCTGAAAAGTAGGGCAATTCAAAATGTGGTGGAGTATGCTATTAATTTTACTTGATTAATAGTAGATGAATTGCAAAATGTCCAACATTATAGCTACTTAAAGCTCACATCGTTTTACGATCCAAAAATTACCCGATGGTTATGGATAAGTATTAAAATAGGGGGGCAATTTTGTGTGTCTGAAACGATATGTAAATTTAGTAAATGCAGGTCTGCCGATATTGCAAGGTAGGCAAATTTAGGAAAATTTAAATTGTTTTAGAAAATCATGGGATACACAGTCAAAGGATCAAAAAAAGAGAGAAAGTATAAAATGTATGGACATTATTCATTTTATACTTCTGTAAACAATTGAAATGGTAAAAAATATAACCTAAATGGCAAAAATACTTTTCTTAGTGAGTTTTTCTGAGCCCTGTAATAGTTATGCCAGTAGGTAGTCATTTCACAGCAGTAAGTAAATGAGTTTGATTGTATGAAATATTTGCCCCATATAACATTATTGGTATACAATATTAAATTATAATAAGCAATTTTGTGCATGTTCAAGTAGATAGAGATAAAAATTTTTATCATAAACAAATGATTAAATGAATAAAATGTAAAATAAATTTATGAAAGCAGTAAATTGAAAATAAACGTTCTAGATTAGTGGTTAATACCAACTGGAGGCCCGTGAAGCCTTTTTCTGTGGCCGGCGAACTAAAATACATTAGTTGTAATTTTTTTGGCGAACAATTTTCGTAAAAAATCTATATGGGTTTTAAATGCTTTTAAGTTTTATATCTTAACAATTTGATATCTGTTGCACATTAATTGTTTAATACATAGGTGCACAATTAAAGTTATTGTAGTCAAAATATTTTAATATGCAATTAAATAGACCTCTTTTACCATAATGAATAATTTATATTTTTAAAGGTAACAATCATACTTCAAAATCGAGAAACAGGACAAATACAATACAATGACATCAAGCATGTTTTTTTTTCAAAAACAACGTGATTAGTTGAAAATAGACATCATGAATAAGATTTTGTGATCTAGATTAATTTGGGATTTTTTGATCATAATAAAAATGAGTAATTGCACAAACATCAATCAGAGGTAAAAAAAATTACATATTACGTTGATTTTTAGCAAATATAAATGCATAAAATGCTTTCATAGCAAAATGGAAAGGATTGTTTACAACAGCATAGGTACATATCAATAGCACGTTACCTTGTAGCAACTGTAAAAAAAATCGATATGAAAAACAATGCATAATGTAAATTGCAATAACGATTGTGAGTCAAATCAATTTTAATAAAACAAAGTAGAAAAATTGTATGCGACATCGAATACTTACGTGCCAAGTAAGTCCTTAAACTCATATTTATCTTCTACGTTAGGGGTTTCTTTTTTTCTCTGAGCATCTTTTTTCCCAAAGAGAGGCATTCTTATTGTTTTAGTTAAACTAACTATTATTTTAATATTTTCGAATCTTATTCACTATAAACACGGATACACTCAACTACTTTTCTCAGCAACAGACATCTCTCACACTTTTCGTTTCGGAATACAACACACAGCCGACAGAAGCAGGACATGGGCATTGGTGACGTCATGAAACGAAGAATGGTAGCCCATCACTAGAAAGCATAATCTTGGAAAATAATTCCTGGAAAATGAATTCGAAAAGTTAACATCAAATTAACTAGAGATAACGGAGAAAACAGTTTTAAGAATATGGTATTCTTTAAAAATTAAGTATTGTAAATAAGACTCGTGAATTTATATTTCACGGAAATGTTATTTTCGGTTGTCTGCTACAGCCGTGTGCTCCATTAGTTCCAGTTTCGGAATTTAACTGAGTTACGCCTTTTCTTTTTCGTTTTTCTTATTATCATTTTTTAGACTAACTTTTCTTTTTGTCGCAGATAAAATTTAATCAAAAGTCGTATTTATATTTCGTTATTGATCGATATAAATAGTGTCATATTTCGCATTTTAATTACATTTTTTTTTATAAACGTTAAAAAAATGCTTTACTTTAACGTGTGTTTAGTTTTGAATTTGTTTATCTTATTTTTAATGGAAGAATAATATTGACATTGATAATGAGTTCTTTTAGAATTGTAGCGGTAAAATGACTTTAAACTGTTATCAGCATTGGAAAAAAATTATTTTTCTTCAATTATTATTATTAAAAAAAAAGAAAACTCTTATTTTTTCCCTGTGTTTTTGAAGCAAGATTTGATAATTATAGATTCAGAATTTGTACTATAGAAACAAAAGACGTTTTTTTAAAGAAACTTCAAAGGATCATTTTACGATTCTCATTAAAATGAATTTAATATTTAAATTCAATTAGTTGCAATATTTTAATTGCTCATGTTTATATTTCGTAAAACTAATTGAAATAATTTATGCAATTACTTTCGGTAACTTTCCTTCAAACTTAGACGTAAAATAATAATAATTATTAAATTATTGTTATAATTATAGAAGTAGCCCAATAGAAATAGTTTTTAAACTATGAAGGACATGTTATCACTATTTTAAAGTATAATTAATTTATTTCACATTTTAAGCACCCTGAAATTTTTTAGAACCTTTTTATTCTAAAAAGATATTATATATTTGCAAAATAAAAAGTTTTATACATTTTTCTTCCTTTTTTTTTCTTCTTCTTTTTTTAATATTTCCTTAAATATTTCTGGGAGTAAAAAAAAATAGTTTTTTTTCCTTCAAATTGTTCAAGAAAATACAAGAACAAATGCGTAAGAAATTTCAAACAACTGAATAAACTTAAATTTCGAGGATAAATTTGAACTGTTTCTGAAACATAAATTCTCACAAACTATCTACAGAATTTTGGCAATAATTGAATAAATAAAAAAATAATTTTTAAGTTTTTCATCTTTTTTTTTTATCTTGCTTTGAAATAAAATTGTATGAGTTAGGCAGTTTGAAGTTCGCAAATACACAAAATTTAGTCAATGAATACTTAATTTCTTTGAGCAAAAATTTTTAACTCAAAAATATTAAGAATTGCGAGAATTTTTATAACAATAATTTTAAAAGAGGATTAGTACATACTAATAATTTTCTTTCAAATGGTGCAAGTACAAAAAGCATATATTTATCTTGCATAGAATAAGGAATATGACGTAATTGTAATTTACGCATTAAAGTTTAAAAGATATTGCAACTTTATATTTATTATTATTATTATGCAATTTATTATAATATTATTAAAATTTCTATCCATTTTTATCCTAAAATAGAGATTTAATTTAGGATTCTTAAATTTATTATGTTCTTAGAGAACACAAAGTTATTTTTCAGAAACACATTAAATTATAAATGCTAACAAAAATTTTCAATTAAGCATTTTTAGTTATATTTTGCTTAATTTTATTATTTTTTTCAAATGTTACTCGAACACAAAATAAGACAGGAATTGTTTGTAATTTTTTTCTTTTTTCTTTACTAAATATATAAGTAATCAGTCAATGGAAAAACACACTGTTTTGTTTATAAAATCTGTATTTTTGTCAATAAAAATTATCTTGACACAGTAATGAACCTCGTTCCTTCTTTCCGAAAACATTTACGCACATTTAACCTTCATGCACAAAAACATTTAGCATTTATGCACAAAAACATTTAGCATTTATGCACAAAAACATTTACTCACATTTAAATGCTTAATATATACATAAAATTTTGACTTTCCGAACAAATTTTTTAAAAATGGTTAAAGTAGATTTTAAAACCGGACGCCTGAAATAATAATTTAACCAATTTAGTTAAAAATATGAATTGAGATAAAGGATAAAGTTATGTGCTTTATCTCACGAAATAATGAAAATTCACTTCATTGATATGAGAAGCATTTAACAACAGTAGATTCTAAAGATTTAAAGACAAGACAACAGATTGGTAAATATTAAATAAAAATAATAATATAAATTTTACTTTCGTAGATGGAAATGCCTTTTAATAGTTTGCTGAGTAACACGTTGAAACATCCGGCGATCGTAAAATGATGTGTTCGGATGTACATTTCTAGAGAATAATAATCTATAAAAAATTTTGTGTATAGTTGCCGCCATTTGTGGTTTAAAGGTAAACTAAATACATTTTTAAGTACTGAACAATAGTGTAAAAAAAATGTATAAAATTGACAAAATGAAAATTGTTTGAAAGAATAAGTGTAAAAATATATTACTAATATTGTACTTGTTTTTTAAATGAAATGTCTTTATCATGAAGCCATAAATTGATTATAATTTGCATGAAAATTTGTGTTATCAGTAAAAAAAAAAGTAAATAAATAAATAAATAAAAGTCAGTAAAAAAGTTTTAAAAAAAAATTGACTATCGGCACAGTGAAAAATTGGGGGCAACTATACACCAAAATTTTTTACAATATACACTGTAAAACTTTTTACCGTGAAATCCATTTTTACCGGAAAATGTTACGAAACAAAAAACCCTATATATCATAATTTTTACTGTAATTATCACCCAAAAATCATTTCATCACTCCAATTAAATAAATATTACTGAATAGATTACGGTATAATATTTTACGAAGAAAATTTATTTTACTGTTTAATGGATTTTACAGATGATGCGTTGAAAATGTGTCGGTATTTTATATTGTAATTTGTTAAGGAATTTCTGACAGTGTTGGAAAGAAATTAAAATTGAAAATAGAAAGTTTTGCGAATTTGTTGTATAAACAATTATAATAATAATAACTATTATTATTATATGTATTATCTTGAAAAATATTGATACATTTTACGCTGTGAGCGGAGTAGTTCTGTGGTGGAAAACATGTACAGTTTGACCAATCCCATCTTTTTAAATTTTTGACAGTGGCGTACAAAAGTACAAGAATGCAATGGGCAAGCACCTTGATTAGATACCCCTTTTAGAAGGAGTATGACCCCTGGTGACGAAAAAAAGCTAATTTAATTTAAATTATAAATGGGAAAGATATTTATAAGATCTAAACCCACAATTTATCTCTCTAATATAATAAAGATTAATGAAAAAAGAAGAAGAAAAATTATTGAAATGAAATATTTTTTAAATGTTTAAAAACAAAATGCTTAAAAAAGATTAAAAAGACGGAAAACAAATTAAGGAAACAATATAATCTCGATTATATTTGCGAAAAGGAGTGCTTTCTAATATCGTATTAATATAGCCAAAGCAAAATATATATCTATTAAATAGTGTGGGGAGCACCCAAAAAATTGAAAATAAAATAAATAAAAAATATACGAAATAAAATATATCAAGAAAAAATAGATAATAAATTGGAAGAAAGTTTTGCATTTTACTTTCTATTTTTTGATTAATATGCTAAAAAAATTAAAAAAAATGGTGACCAAAATTAATTAGCATACTTGAGGTCACCTTTTTTTTTAAACGCACTGTACTTTCAAATAATATTTAAGATTTGAACCAAATCGAAGAAATATTTCGCTTTTCTTCTGATGAAATTATCGCGAGCATAGACTTCACTTATTTTGAAGGACAATAATAATTAAAAACTATTTATTTAGATAAAGAATACGTTTGAGTGCCTGATTTTTTAATTTAAGATAACGTCTGCATTAATCAATTAATATAATTCAAACATGCCCTTCCATGCATTAAGATTGCATTTTTCTAAATTTGATAATTAGATTAAATTATTCGAAGAGTAAAAATTTTTCTTTCTTTCCTTTCTCTTCTTCTTCTTTTTACATTTACGCACTGAATGTAAGGCATGACCCGATACATGAATTACTTTACAAATTACCCTGCATTTTTTAGCTTCATATTTCTATTCTAAGTAAATAATGTTAGTTTAATATTAGTAAAAATATTTAAAAATTCAAAATGAGATCCATGAATAAAAAGATTTTCACTTGAGTTCAATAAAAAATATTTATGATATAAAAAACTTCAAAAATAAATGATTGTTTGCTATTAAGATAAGTGAAAGTATTTTTGTCAATAGTAGTGCCTGGGTAGTCGTATAAAAAACATTTCTTCTTCGATTTCAAGATAAAATATTTCTATAATGAAATATATGATATCAACACAGATAAGCAGTAATAAAAAAGTCAATGACAAGGACATTAAAATTTAAATACAGTGAAATTAGAAATTTCTTTATATTCCAGACATTAATTTTCGAAAGAATAACTAAATTATAAAAATGTTTTTTTTTTTTAAATGTGTACAAATAGAAAAATATTGTAGAAAAATAAGGATCGAGGCGAAGCAAAGAAAGCAAAATAGGAACTTCACGAGATATTATTGGCGAAAATGATGAAATGTCACTCTATGAAAACTCTCTTAGGACACTTAAAACAACTTTGTGTTTCGAAAGGAGCATAATATGGAGAATCACCTCACATTAAATTATTTTACGAGATTTAAAATCAATAGATTTAATTTATTAACATAAAATATACTTTATATATATATATATTATACCNTATATATATATATATATATATATTTTCGATTTTAATAATTAATAATGAGATCAGATTTGTTAAAAAAAGAAATTAAATCAGCTTATTTTAAAAGAAATCCTAATTAGGTTAATTTTTGAATATGTATTCTAAACCAATTCACTGTCAAACAATAAAGAAACCAGACATA